GACTTTCGTCAGGGCTGTCATGCGCTGGCGGAAGGATTGAAGGAGCATCTGGCGCTGGAGACCGGCAAGCGACTGTCCTATCTGACGTTTCCTGAGGTCGAGCAAGAAGTCGGAGATTTGCCGGAAGTGCCGATGCTGGAGCTGTTGGCGGGATTGCAATTTCGACGTTTGGAGCCGACCCGGAAGGAATTCCACAACGCCTGTGAGCTGACCCGATTGGTCTCGGGTGGGAAAGCCGAAGGCCCTGGGGAGACCGTGTGATTCAATTCGTGCACCCCTGGGTCTTGCTCCTCCTGATCGCCGTGCCCTGTGTCGGCTTCTTGAGGTGGCGTCGATACCAACGAGACGTGGTGACGTTTCCACCGTTGCAATACCGACCGGGTCGGGCGGGCTCAGGTGCTTGGTGGTGGGTGTTGGCGGCCGCGGAGATGATTGCGACCGCGGTCTTGGTGGTGGCGGCGGCCCAGCCCTATCACGAGAGCCGATTCGAGCGCATGGATGAGGAAGGAATCGATATCGCCTTGGTGCTCGACGTGTCGTTGAGCATGTTGGCCGAGGATTTTCCGCCCAATCGCCTGGCGGCATTGCGGTCGATCGCTGGAGATTTCTTGGATCGCAGCGGTGGGCACCGGGTCGGCATTTACATCTTCGCCGGCGATACTTACGTGCAAAGCCCCTTGACCGAGGATCGAGTGGCTTTGAAGACGTTGTTGGACAGTGTTTCCGTGCACGCATTGAATCAAACCAAGGGCGGTGGCACGGCCATCGGGGATGCCCTGGTGATGGCCATCGAGCGGCTTCAACGCCAAAAGGTCGAAGGCCGGGACCAAGCGGTCATTCTGATCACCGACGGGGAATCCAATCTGGGTCTCGATCCCATGTTGGCGGCGCGCTATCTCAAGCGAGCGGAGGCTCGGTTGTATGCCATCGGCATTGGTTCCGAAACGCCCCAGGAGGTCTATTTCCAGGGGGAGCGGGTCGGCGGTGACACTCCCTTTCTGGCCGCCCTGGACGACGAAAGCTTGCGGGCTATGACCGCCATCGCCAATGGCGAGTATTTTCGCGCCACGGATGCCGACGCCTTGGGCAAGGTTTTCGGCGAGCTGTCCCGATTGGAAAGCGCTCCCC